ATGCGTGATACTCAAACAATTTAGTTCAAGGAATATGAAACTTTGAATGATTATGTATTCAGAAAACATCATAAGCATTAAGAAGACAACATAGAATTTGTGATAGCTATATCAGAAATACATTTCATAAGGGGTGGTTTGAGTGCTTTTCCAAACAGGTGAATAACAAGAAAATTGTTTTTTTTTCTATTTCTGGAAAACATGTACCACATACTACATAAAAACTGTATACGATATCAAGGGAAATACCCTAAGCTACAATAAGGAACTAATGTTTACAATTCGGAAATAGTGCAGAGAGTACAATAAATCATTAAATTCTACTATCAAAGTTACCCGTTTTACCGTCTTTCAGTGGTGAAAGTTTCGTCTTAATACATTCAGTGGTGAAAGTTTCGTCTTGATACATATATTAAAAAAGTTGTACTAGATGGAAGACGAGAAAATAAAATTGATCCTGCACATGTCGAAAGCCGGACGTGGTCAATTCGAAACATCGCAAAAAAGTTGAAAATTTCCGTTTCTACCCCTTAGCTCAACCACAAAATATATGTTTTTAGAGTTCAAGTAGGGGAAATGGCTCTAATGTTGGCAAATAGATCTAAGATTGGAATGGTATCAATGGATATTTTTGAAAATTTAGTCGATTGCTGAATTTATATATGGGCCTAGGTAAATTAGGGACATTTAGGCTGACATTACATCCATTTCCCTTTAATGAAAAAAGTATAAATTTTAAGATTGTAGATTTTAAATGTAGATTTTTTTATGAATAATTTACCCATTACCCATAACATCAGATTGAAGTTAATTCATTGTTTCAGAAAACTAAAAAAGCAACAGCATTTTTTTCTTGATAATTACAGATTTTGAAAATCTTTATTATTCTTGTTTTGTGTAGAAGGACTGAGAATTATTATTCAGATTATAAATTTAAAAATATTTTGTTTTTTTATATCCCAAATTCCGGGTTGTGAACAGTTCTACCGTCTTAAGCGGGAATCGAACCATCGCTTCATGGCACTCACAACAATACGCCTGAACGATGGGTGACGCCGCTAACGGCACGACCACGCAGCCCACACCTATTTACCTCAAAAATAATTTCAAAACACGTTCAAACTTATTGAGATCTTGTTATTTTACTGAAGTTTTCGTTTTATAGTAGCTTTAAAACAATAAAATTGAACTGCATATATTTCAGTTAGTGATTCCAAATATTTTTGGATCAATAACGGTCCTTACAATCAAATATTTAATATTGTGTAGCTGAGTAAGAGGAGAGCAGTTGAACCCCGTCTCCCAACCCCCTCTGACCAATCCAATTATATAAGTTGGATTGTTGATATGCAAGGAGAAAAGCTTATCTATTTTCTTTTATTAATAAAACAAGTTAGTTCCTCCACGATTGGGTTATATATCTTATCCTTTCGGCTCACGGTTTCGGTAAAAGGCAAAAAGATTGAAAGAGTCACGAATATTGCTACTTTCTACAGGAAACTCACAGCGTCACTACCGTCTGTATTTTGCCAAGTGATAATGGTATTAATTTTACATGCCTCAATCGCTTGTTAGTCGAATCAAGGTCAGGGAAATGGAAGAGAAGGTGACAAGATTGGATTTTTCTCTGTGTGCAGAAAAATACGAGTCGTTGAAATGCGATTCTCCGCAAAAGATAAAATGATGCGGTGTAGAATCGAATTTCTATCGTACCTCGTTCGTAACGATTTGAAAACATAAACTGGGGGCAATATTCCGTTGTTGCCGGCGGCCGTCGCATGAGATCTTATGTCGCCAGAAACGATTCGCTGGCAGGCTTCCTCTATTTTAATACAATTATATATCTGCAGCCGAAAATGGAAATGTGGAAAGGGCGAAAACATCCGCTTCCAGATAACAAATCAAGCCCAGCGAAATGGCAGAGCTTATTTTTGTGTTCATTCGAGAAGCGGAGATTTGGCTTTTGTTCCGAGTAATGGTTACGAATGCTTTCTTGAATTTGAATGTAAATTTGCTATATATCTTACAATGTCAAATAATGTTAGAAATGGTCTCTTTGTGTGTGGGTTTCGCGCAAAAAAATAGAACCTAGTGGGAAATTCAATTTGCAGTGGCAATGTTATCCTTCTCAACAAGCATATGAATTATTTGCTTATTCTAGAACAGTATACATGGGTACAATATGCACCAAGAAATGATAGACATAGGAGACTCTCAATTTATAGCAGTGGAACTTTTCATAAATTAAATATTAGCAATCTTCGCTCTTGGTAATTGATAGTTAATAGCATCCGTTTTAGCATCCGCCTGGAAGGAGCAAAATATTGAACACTCTTAAAAGTTTCGTTGAACATCCATCATTGCTTTAATACTGCGTCGCCATGAGTCCCAGGGCCTGCATCTGCTGTGAAGTCCAGCCAGGTTTCAATCCAGCGCTTAATTGCAGATTTTGATTCTGCCTTTTTGAAGTGTTTGACAAACCCATCTCAAATTTTGTTCTAGAATTTCTGTTGACATCGGTTTCTGATGACATCGACGGTGGAGCTCGGTATTCGAGATCCAGTTGTGCGGTTGCCAAGCACAAATTATGTACCACAGGCATCGGTTGATGAAGACCTACAGCTCTTGGTCCCACCGTCTGACGCAATCTAGCTCTCAATATATTGGAAACCTTCGTCATTCTTCACTGCATGCCCTGTTAGTTGTCTTATTCTAGTTTTAAATCTATTTCTACTTATAGTTAAGTCAAAAAGTTCGGCGTCTACAAATTAAAACATGTCTTAAGTGGATGGTTTTGTACGAACACGGTGATATGTCTAGCAGCCCACAATAACGAACGTTGGCGGGAGCGTCGCGCTGGAACGTAGATCTTTGCCTGTTGTAGAAAAGCAGGACAGTCAATCCGGTTACTTTAGAATATCGAATGCAAACATTCGGTTAAAATAGGGCTTACACCTTATTCGGGCCTACTAAGCACAACGCGCCCGTTGCCTCTATCTTGCGAGTGGATTTTTTTTTTCACAAAATGGAATCACTGCAGATGACTTTTAAATTTATTTACCTTTTAGTACGTACTGTAAGATTTGATAAAGAGAATAAAATTGTTGAGGTATTGTTAAAAATATATCACAGCTTCTTGACCCCAAACACGGCCTAACGCATCGAAACGGCATTCAAACGCTTTTGAATTCACTTCGGCCTATTGAAAATATAAAAATTGATTCGGTCGGAGCGCTTCTTTTGTTTTTGAGAAAAATGAGTGTAAACATTCATATCACGCGTTCTCATTGACTTTGTTCGGTAGCTTTTGAACTAAAGCATCGTACCAAACGCATAATTGACTTGCTAACTCTGAAATCATGGATTTATTTGATTTTTTCTGCTCGATACTCCCAAAACGGGCGATTAGGCCGAAGTAGTTCTCTACCCTACGCCGTTGGCGCAGAGGTTCTAGCCTTATCAATCGACATCGATGTTAGTAGGGGTGTAACCTGAGCCTATCATTCCAAGGTAATCTCCGTAGGGCGAATTGAACGAAGCAACTCTTTCAATTCGGGCAATATGGGTTTCGTGATGGCGGGTCCAGATTTGTACAGCACACTAGAACACTTTGAACAAGTGAACAATTCAGACTCTTCAATACATACACTTCGGCGGATGAAACCAAGTACGAAGAAAGCTTTCGAAGTGGTCGTTGCGATGTCTTCGTTGAAACTTAGCCTGCAGTTCATTATCACTCCCAAATCCTTAATAGATGTTACACGGTCCAATCTAATGCCATTAATTGTATAGTCAAAGTACACAAGCGTCTGCGATCTTCTGAAACTTACAACTTTACACTTCATCGCGTTCATCTTCATTCCGTTTGAGACACACCAACTTGCAAATTGCAATGGTATCAATGCCTTGCTGTAAAGCAGAACAATACACCAACGAACTCATGATTCGATAAATCTCATGATCGTCGGCATACATAAGGCGATGTGAGTTAAGTTGGAGGCTCAAGTCGTTAACGAAAAGAATAAAAATCAAGGGTCCGAGGTGACACGCCAGATGGTGTTACAAACCAAGGAGGATCTTTTTGGTAGGTATGACCGTAACCACCTTATTAGCCAGTTAGGAAAACCTTTCGAGCTTTCTCAGAGTAAATTCATGAGGCACTTTATCAAACGCTTTGGAAAAGTCCACGTAAATACTGTCAACTGTGGATGCTGCAAACCTTTTCACCATGTTCTTCAAGAGCGTTTTTAGTAAAGTGTCACCTGTACCAAGGCGGGATAGTTTTGCTCACGTTCCTTCGCACAACAGCAACCTACCCGTTATTCAGTTTTCCGCAATAGAAGAAGTAGAAGCCATCGATGAGCTTGACATCAAAAAAGGGCCTGGGACGGACGGAATACCACCCCTGTTGCTGAAAAACTGTTCAAAAGAACTAGCGAACCCAATTGCTTCAACCGATCACTTCACGAAAGAACCTTTCCGACAGCTTGGAAAGCTGCTTGCATCGTTCCTATTCACAAATCTGGCAACTGTAATCAGGTGTCAAATTATCGCGGCGTATCTATACTTTGCTGTCTCAGCAAAGTGTTTGAAAGACTGGTGCACAACGTTCTATACAACGTAGCGTCTCCCATCATCTTTGATGGTCAGCATGGCTTTATGAAGCATCGTTCTACAACAACGAACCTCATGTGTTACGTCACCGCACTGTCCCGCGAAGTAGAGGCGGCAAGTTGACGCGGTGTATGTTGACTTTGCAAAAGCCTTCGACACTGTACCGCTAGAATGTGCCGTGGAAAAACTGAAGCACATAAGTTTTCCAGATTGGATTACAGATATATTCGTACTTGTGCGATCGTACTGCATATGTTGCGGTCAACTCTACTCGATCCCGCACTTTCAAAATCACGTCTGGTGTACCATTAATATTCAACTTTTTTATAAATGACCTGTGTCTGCTGCTTTCCTCGTTTAAGCTTTCATTCGCCGATGACCTAAAAATGTATCGTGTCATAGCTTCTCTTCCGGATTGTATTGCCCTACAAGAAGATATTGATACTATACTGGTATGGTGTGGCGATAACGGCATGCGGGTCAATAACATGAAGTGCAAAGTTATTACTTTCGGGCGCTGCAATATCCCCATTCTTCATCAATACAGAATGGAAACTGCATCATTGGAACGTGTGTCGTCCATTTGTGACCTTGGCGTTACCATCGATTCGAGGTTCAGATTCAACGAACACGTGAGCATTACCACTGTCAAAGCTTTTTCTGTGCTGGGATTCATCCGTCGCCACGCTTCCGAGTTCACCGACATCCTCGCTTTAAAAACTCTCTATTGCTCGTTGGTTCGTAGCATTCTGGAGTACGCTGCTCCGATTTGGTCCCCTTATTATGTAGCTCATGTTCTCACGATTGAACGGGTGCAGAAAAGGTTCTTACGGTTTGCACTGAGACAACTTCCTTGGAACGATCCGACCAATCTTCCTCCTTATTCTGACCGATGCAAGCTCATAGGATTGGAACCACTATCTGTCAGACGAGTAACGATGCAGCGGCTATTCATGTTCGATGTCATTGGAGGATCTATCGATTGCCCTGAACATTCCTCCTCGACGGTTTCGGAGCTCAGTTTTAATAGCAGTCTCATACTACTGAACAAACTCCGGCTACAACAACCCTTTTGATTCGTGTCTTCGCTTGTTCAATGTTGTCTGTGACGAATTCATTTTTAACTTGACTAAAAACTTTTTTAGAAATAGGATTAGTAGTAATTTCTAGTTTATAAGTAAAATAGTTCAGTCTGTACGACTAGCCGAAGACGGTGATAAATTAATAAACTTCGCAGCGCATTTCCAAACTGGTGTATAGCGCGCTAGCGTATGCCATGCTAATATTGAGAAATTATGGATCTTCCATAACGGCATCATAATTGCATGGATTGAAATCGAAATCGAGGCTTGTTGGAATATCGGGATCAGTTTCGACCACGATCGGTTGATTTCATGTTTCAGATAGCTGTTTACAAAGATAGGGCCTCGGAGTTGATGGGAGTGATGCGCAGCGTTGCCTGTATATATCATATGTTTTATTGAAGAATATTAACCTTAGATTGTAAGTTGGATTAACCTTGTGTTTAGTTTGTATTTTGTATGTGTGTGTGTTTGTATTTTTTTGTGTATTTGTTTCTGTAATAATTGTATAATTACAGAGTTGATATACATAACATTGATAGGATTAAGTACATATTTTAGAAAAAAAAAGTTAATTTTTTTAATCATATCTCATATTACAAATCTCCTTCTCCCACTCGCAATCCATACAATTGTCATCTACTAACCTCGAGAAGACCGCGAGTAACCGGTTCAAATCCATTATTTTTATAACTTGGCTCTGCAATGGCTAATTTGGCCCGTACAAATAAAGTAATTAACCAAAAAATAAACGTCCATTGGTCACATCGTATGGGGAAGCAGTCCATAATGCACCCCTGGGGTAAAATGACCCCAGGCGGTTTTGCTATCTCATTAATAATTCTAAGATTATGTGCTAGTAAACGTATTGAACTAGCAATGCTGCTCGTTAAATTCACGAATTGACAATCAGAAAGCTATGAAAAACATCACGGGCCATTTTACCTCAGGGATGCGTTTAAGACCATCCTATCCTACATGGAATTGTTACAACATGTTTGCTGCATTGTTGTATGCTTTGTGGGAGCTTATATTTGAACCGTTGAAATTTGAAATGATTATGACATCTATTTATCAAAACTAAAAATTCACAACGATTCACCATAAAAAGTATATATCGTGTTAAACGGCTTCAAATTTAAGAACTTTAAAAAAGATTTTTCAAGCAATTGTCATAACTTTTACTTTTAATTCAATTTACAATCAAAATTAAACCATTAACAAATACATTTTCAGCATGTTGATAATTTTTGTTAATTCATCTTCCACGAAAATTTCATAAACTTCAAGATCACAACATGTTTATCAAATTTTAGAATTTGGTTAATTTTTATAAGATTGAGATCTTGACAGTATTTCGAGCCTTTAAATTTGTCGAACCTCTTAACGAAATCCCTTTATGAAGAGCTTTGAGTGCGTTGGTTTATTTCCTTTAAGGGGAAGATTACCGCCCCGAAAATAAAAAAAATATTTTCGGCACGTTTTTAGTTTTCTAAAAACATTGGTAAAAATAATCAAAAATCCAAAAAAAATCAGTTTCTTTCTTAGATTCTTGAGAAAATTTTCATGTGAAAATAGTTTTTCTATCTCATCATGAAAAAATATTGGACTCTCAGCAAAACAGAAAAGTTGATGTTTTGTTGTTTGAAAAATTAAAAAAAAATATTTTTCTATCTCACTTATAGGGGGTTTAATAATCGATATGAATACACCAAAAGAAGTGTATTAGCATAGCAATAAACTTCTCTGATACCGTAAACATTTCCAGATACTATTGAAAGTTAATTAGAAATAGCAAAATAGCACGTGCATTTTATGGTGGACCTGTAGGTTCATCACACATGTATATATTTAGAGATGAACTAGCCTAAGGCTAAAAATCTCTTAAATAAAGAATTAAAAAAAAAAAACATGTATATATTAAATTTAAAAAAAAAATGCTCGGATTAATGGACAGTCCGGTATTTAGTGTACTATAGTACTCATAAACACTAACGCTGTCATTATCGAATGAAAAATTTGGAATGCAGCAGAAATTTTGTATAGCGCTTTGTAAAAATTAACTCATAAATCATAAATTTTCCCAGCACTACCTTTGTTACCGAAAATATGCGCATATATTTAAATAAATTTTAAATCAAAAATGTTTAAGCCTTTGAGCGTTACAAGTAACATTTATGTTTTGTACTTATCGCCGCGATATTTCGTTTCATCACTCGAAAAATGAACACAAAGGACGAACTCGGAAACTTGAAATAACCTAGCTGACAGCTCATTTGTATTCTCTTTTCCCGGAGGGTAATTAACCGGTGTAAGCCATAAACATAAACCGTTATAAAGTGAATGTGGGTGGATGGAGTTGGTTGTTACGCTGTGATTGTTGAACATGATTGTGGATGTTTTATGGGAGCCATTCGAAACGATTATCAGCTTTTGGAGCACTTGTTTTTAAATAGGTAATGGAATATGCTTGTATGAATTGATTAAATGGTAATAATAAGTAATTCTTCTTCACAATATCGAGAAAATTTAACAAACTAGTGAAATTGAGTGTTCGCGTTCTATTCTATGAAGAACTTCTCTCGATCTAATAAAATCAACGCTCGATTCCTCCTTGTATAGAGCTATATTACTCTTTATTTCACTACTTTGATCCGCATTGAAAAATAGTAATGGGATATTTATTATAAAACAACAACGCCAGTTTAGGGTGCAAAAACTTAAAAAAAAAATCGCACACACTTGTCACTTAGGGAAATCGTGCTATCTTTATAGAATAATTCAATCCTAGTGGATCATTATCATTCAGAGAAAAACGGCCCTAAAAGCATTAAGGGGGAAAATACAAGTAAAAAAAATTTTTTTACGATTTTATATTTTACTTTACTTTTTTAATGCTACGAGCACGAGGAAGGAGTGATCTATGGCCACAGTATCGCCGATTAACCGTAAGTTCCAAAATCATGTTTTTACATAACCCAAAACTTTAAACGCGTTTTTCTCGAAACGGTGTTTTCCAAATTGGCGGGAAAGATAACTCAAAAAGTTCTTACTTTTATAGATTATTACTCTATGTGAACCACTGATATCATGAAAAAAAAACAATTAATCATTTTCAGGTCTGCCTAAAGTGAAAAAAAACAGTGAAAAATCAACTTTTTTTTCAGATATTTTATTCTAAATTTTTAAATCGTTTTTTTTTTGCGTTTTAGAGGTTCACATAGAACAAAAATCTTTTTTGAATAAGGTCCAATTGATAAAAGTAAGTTTTTGTCCATTTTTCAGGTCTCTAGAACGCCCGCCAATTACCAATCCCCACCGGAGACGACCTCCTTCCGATGTGACCCCAAGGAGCCAAAGAGGTCACACACCAATGAAAAAAATCTCAAATGTAGAGTAAATCTTCCTCTTTGCAATTTAATGCAAAAAAACCCTAAACGTTTGCGTTGTTTCATTTACTCACAAAAATATTCCGAAAATCGTCGAGTTTTTGACGTGCTACTTGTATTTCCCCCCTTAATAGAATATAGGGGCACTTGATGTAATGTCGGCCTAAATGCCCCTAAATTGGGCCCGTACATAAATTAAGGGGTTACGCCTACCTGCAAGACCGAAAAAAAGCGAAAGCTTGGATTTTTTTTTCTCGAAAACGACGCAACATATTGAAAATCGGTTTTCTGCAGTTTATTGAACACACATTAAATGGTACATTTATCAGTCGATGCTTTTAAAAACGAGGTCCTGGTGCCCCGCACGGCTGCTCCCCGTGAACGATGTTCTAAAAAACGCTTTTTGCGGTGCCAACTGCGGTTTGTGATGTAATCATCTGAAATAAAAAAAAAAACCATGCAAAATCGTTAAGCATGTGTTAAACTAGTCCTTGATCATTTTTTTTAATTTTTTTGACAAACTAGCGGCCTTTGCAAGTGCCGATTTTTGATCCTTAAAATTTGTCTTTAATCGGCTGTAAAAAATCGAAATTAAATGATAGACGAAATCCGAACGATCGTGGACTGCACAAAATAGTACTGAACAGAAATCAAAACGAATCGGACGAATCAAATGTATACATTTCGAGAAATTTTTGGCACCGGTTTTGAAAATATGATTCCGAGATAATCGCGTTTAAAGTTTCAAGTTGGGTTTAGTCCACTATAAGTGAATATTTTTGTACGTCGCATAACTTTCACAATTTTCATCGGATCAACTTGATCTTTTGAGGAAATATTCTTGACTTTATATACTTTCGATTAGGACAATAAAAAAAAAATCGATTTTTTGAAAGTTTGCAGGTAGGCGTAACCCCTTAAGCAATCAACTAAATTTTCAATAGCAACCAAAAATATCAATTAGCACCGTCCCAATAACGCGTTCACGTAGATACAATTGATAAATTGCTGATTTTTAGCGATGGGTCCAATCTTAGATCCATAGGCCAACATTAGAGCCATTTCCCCTACTATAGAGTTGTTTGTTATTTTCCCTTTGATTATTTAACGATGATTGAAGCATTTTGTAGTCAATACTTTTCCAATGTTCCTATTACAGTTAATGGAGTGCGAAATTGAAATGATACAATGAATACGATACGCTCGATGCGAGACGAACGAAGCTGAGTTTCATGTAACAGATCCTTTTTTCCGGTTTCGACTGAACGCACATTCAAGTGAACCGCAAAAACAAACGCCTGCAGGTCTGTGTGGGGGCTTCTTTTCTGTCTCACTGACAGTTTTCACCCACCATCTGCGTCAGGGCGCAACCGGGCGTAGTCAAATAAAATGTTAAATTCATCGCACAGATTTAATGCGACACGTGTTGGAATCCTCATTTAATTAAAATCGTGAAGTCAGAGTAAAAGAGAGCTGCGATTCCAACCGCATGCAAATCCAATCCCGGGTCTCATCCATTACAGCTAAAAATCTGTTTCGGTGCTCGCCATGCCAAGTCTGGTGGTGATGAAGTTAAATACAGTGTTTTATGCCTTTGCAGAGATG